GAGGAAAAACGCATCTTTTACTGCCTAATGCATTCAGACAGAACAGGTTCTCAATTTTGTTCACAGAATTGTTGCCGGGGCTCATTCAATGACTGCGAACACCAAGCATACATGACCCAGAACTCAGAAGTCCTCCTTGCCCAGGAGGGGAGAAGTCATCTTTCCTCTTAACCTGGCTGTCCACTGCCAGCAAAATTCCCCTTTCCCCCAGTTTCAAAGGCAAATTCTGAACACTGCTGTTCAGGGCAATTCACTCCTGCTGTTTACTCCTCCTCAGGGCAGAGGAGACCCTGGCTGCGGACTTAGAAAGAAGTGTCTCAAAAGATAAAGTACCTTCCTTGAGTAACTCAGTGGTCCTGACTCCAAAATCAGATTCTGCTTCACATAAACAGTTCTGATCCATCCACGTTAAGCGCCAAGATTCCATATAGGATTCTGGATTATATCCTGGCTAAGGTTGCCAGAAGCTACACACTGCAACCTCATCTGCTGATATTGAAAGTCCTTACTAGATCCAACTCAGTTCTTGCAGACAAACAGTTATAACACACAGATTACGTATCAACAAGACCATTTAATCACATGAATTTTGTATAAATCAAAGCCCATTGTAAAACCAAATTTAAGAGAAATTGGAGTAAACACACTTTACACTGTTTGTAGAATGAGGAAACAGATTCTTTTATTATTAAGCAACCCCCTTGGTCTCAGTGGTTACAGTAGGCCTCTGAAGAACCATTCATTCCAGCAACTGCTGAGCAGAGTAAATGATTAATAACTTTCAAAAAGCTGGTTTAGTGGGAGCCAAAAAACAAAATACAAAGGAACTAAGCTTCAGGGCTATACAATTAGTTTCATTGCAAAGTATTATTATATAGTGATTCTTACTATAACTTTTCTTATGCAAATATTGAGGGTGATGACTATTAAATACCTAAACAGCAGGTGAAGAAAGTCAGATAATGTATTGAAAGCTTTTCAGAGTCCCTGTGTTACAGTCAAAAATAGAACTTCGAAGACTTTAACAGTACATCTCATCTCAAGGGAGAACACATTAAATATTTGCCATAATCCAGGCAAGTTGTTTGCACTGTTTTCACTGCTGAAAAATAGCTAAGCAGTCTTCAAGTGAAACAGTGTTGTTGATGTAAGTACATGTAACTACTCTTAGGAGAAGATGAAAAGGTGAGCATCCAAGTCCTCACTTTCTGTTGTGTATAAACAATTCCTGACTCAGGAGATAAAATCTTAAAAAAATTTTAACAAAAGCATTGGGTTAAGTCCTCATAGCCCTTAAAAGTCACCAAGTCACTACATGAGCTGGTAAAACAACACGATGATCCAATAACCCAGCAGCAATCCAACTGAAAGCAGGAAGATCAAGAAACTTGGCAAGCACAGGGAATACTCTGCACGCAGGCCAAAGAACCAGATTCTGAAATTATTTCTGTATATTAATGAACGAAACTTGTGTCACATGCTTTACCACAAAAAATGCTATTTACATTACATATTATCAACTGTGAACTAAGCTTCCCAAGCTCAAGAGTGAAAATAGCAAAATTGCTTTGTTTTTACAGCAATGGTAACACAAATTAGGAAGTCTGGAACGAAAGTATTCCAACACACTCCTGCAGTGAAATGCAAGAAAAACTTTGATGAAAAGCAAAACATCATGAACTAAACAGCACAGTGGTTTTAAAATTTGTACAGTATTTATTTACAAGGTTAAATGTTTCATAAATATACAGACATAAATAGACAGATACTCTTAAAACAGCAACAAAATATTCCATTACACTTTGTGGATTCTGGTTTTCAATGAACACAAGCAATGTTAAATATTGCTGTAGTAGATTTTCACTGCTAATTTTACACTAAACAAACACTGCAAGAGGGAAAACAGACCTTTAGAACACAAGAGGAAAAACAGTTTAACTCCTGTGCTTTCCATAACGCCTACATTTCCAGAAAATCATGGACATGATCCTTTAACTGTACACATCTAATGTTACTCTCATGAATAGATCTCATCAATTTTAATAGAAAAGAATTCATAATAAGAAAGACAAACAAGTGTACACATATATTCTCGACTGAGGAAAATTTGGAACTTTTACATAGTAATTACTTTAGTGAACATATTATTGCTCCTATACAGAGGTTTTGTTTACACAAGGAAAAAATGCAACGGAACAAAAAAGTGCATATTAAATATTTTAACTAATAAAGTAAAACTTTACTTAAATCATAAGTTCACACAGACTCCCATTAATAAAACAACATTAACTTGTTGCAGTTAAATGAGATTGAACTCTGCTGCATGTTCTGTATTCCAACTGCTTCAAGCACAGCGAGCTGTCAGTCCTCAGGGGATAGAATCCTGCCTCAATAAAGTCAGTGGGAATTTTGCCATTGATTTCTGAGTAGAAAAATGTTTTCGAGTTAGCTTTCTCTCTCTCTCTCCTGTTTTTTAAAAAAGTAAGTCAGACCAGAGACAAATCCTCCCCGTTCCAATGAACATGACTAAAACACAAGAAGAAAATAAATATACAGGCTTTATTCTGAAATCTCTGGCAACAATTCTATTCCAGCAGAAACTGAGAATTTTATCATCTTTCTTTTCGGTAGCCCCCAACAACACACTTTTGTCTAACTACATATTCACAAAATGATATGCATGAATTTCATTAGGACTGGAAAAGCCTGTACCAGATCAGTTTAATATGCAGAACAGGACAATACATGCAGCAGAACTAACCACCTTCAGTTTGGATCACTCAATGCTTGGCTGTGCATACTCTCCTTTTTTTGAGCCAGAGTTGCCCTTGTCTGGATATTTCTTCCCTTGACTTGTCCCAACTTGTCCTTTTGCCCCTCTTGCCTTCATTCCATAGAGAGTCTCAACCAGAGATACATGTCTTTTGAGTGTGAAAATTGCTGGATTCTAGAAGGGCTCCACAATGCTAGTTTGGGAAGTTACAAAAGAGAATGCTATCTATCTAACCCTGACTGTTTAACTACACGAACACACTGCCAGATGACCTAAATGTAGGGATTTCCCTAAGGTTGTGTTTTTTGTGTTGGCAGATAAGCTTCCCTTGAAGGCAAAAATTAGGCATATACCAGAAAGGAAAAAACCCAAACATTTGATTTATGAGAAGCAAAACTGGACTTTGTTATGCCAGGTCCTGGCAGCCACAGCAAGAAGCTTGGGTAACTTGATTCACTACTGAATTTGGGCATTTGAAGTGAAGATAGCATTATTGTGGTTCATGTGGTTTTAAACTGTGACAGAACTTCCAGTCTGTTACCAACATAATGCTGAAATAAGAGCAAAACCATAAATCAGCTGCTTTCAAAAGCTTGCAGACCATGGCAAAAGCACACTGAATATTTCACTGTCTGTTTCTGGATACCTACCTAGATAACATAAGATGTTATTATGGAGTCTTCACAGAACTGTTCTGCAGGAAATAAGCTCCATGTAGCCCATTTTCTTGCATGAAAAGTTTCCTATGATGAATATGGAGACCATACGGTGTGTCTGACTTAGTATATCTTGAGCAGAATAACTTACATGCCTTGTAGAGCTACCTTGTCTTGGATGCTCTTCCCTCCCCTACATATCTTTCTACTGATATAAGTTACCTTTACAGATTTACCCTTTTTAAGTCCTCTACTACCAACCTAAACACAAGGGTACCACAATCTGAAGACAGGTGAAAGCTTCAGAACATGGGGGAAAAAGAAACTCTTAAAGTAGCTGTTCAACTAAGCCTTCCAGAAATGCCTTAACTGGAAGAAAGCAGCAATTGAAAAGCATTAAATTAGGCTTGTATCTCCAGAAAACTGTTTGGTGATTTGGATCTGTACAAATAGTCTTTTACCAAAGAATTACACTATGCAGTATCTGGTTTAAAAGGTTATTCCAATGAAACAGGGACAAGAGGTAATCATAGGAGATTTATTTCTTCTTTTCAGTTAAGGAGAGAATTTAAACTTCACTGCCACTGGGTTAAAAGTTACGGTATTATTCAACTCAGACGGCAGGGACATAAAATCATTGTGTCCAAAGAAACTATCATAAAATATCCATGGGCCTCCCAAAGCCTTGCAAAAAAAAAACTCTGAAAAATTGAACCTGTGCTCACTTTCACCACTAAGTGAAGCCCAAGCCACACACTGTCCCATAAACAGTAACAGGGTACACTAACAGTGAGCCAATGTTGTGGATAATAAAAAAAAAAGTCATTACTGGCACCACTCATTCTGTGGGAAGTAACAATAGTATCCAATACATTCAAATAAATTATAGGAAGCAATAAATATCTGCAAACTCTAAGGCACTGAAAGAGTCACAATAACTGAGCTTGAGCAGGCTTGAGCCCTATTTTGCTAAAGGCAGAATTTCTACAGTTCACTGGCAGACCTCAATGAATTCAGGACTTCTCCACTAATTTTAACATATGCTAATAAAAGTTTAGATCTCTCACTTTAGGATGGCCACATTTAAATAGAACTGTACAATGCTCATTGAGTTCAAGCGCTTCAGCATAAAAATTCAAGTGCAAAAAATTTAACGTAAAAAACCATTTACTATTAAAAAAAAAAACCAACTTAAAAAAACTACTGGATCCAGAATTTTTCTTCTAATATTGTAACTTTCCTTTTTCACTTGGCACACAGCTGACAATACAGTAATGCTTCAATGTGCAAGATATAAATGGAAGGAGAGCAATGGAAAGAAACAAACTAAAAACTGCAATGCTCCCAGCAAACCACCACCACTGAGAAAATGAGCGAGACATCCTAATTTCTCAGTGCTGCCTTACGGCACTGTTACAAGTAATAGTAGTAATTGAATTTAACAAAAAAAGTCACCATTGCAATCTTAGTGATGCACACGAGTCAAAATCTACCACTTAACACGGTGAGATATTTCATACTGAACCTGAACATCGACACGCTTCTGGACTTAAACAAAAAAAGACCCTTACCAGGAATGATCATGAATAAGAGCCGGGGTAGATTTTTACTTTCATCTTTTGAGAGGTCTTTCCAGGGTCCACACTTTAAGACATGAGTAGCAGCTCCACAACAGTAGATAAATTCTTCGTGTAATGGGACTGACTCTTCTGACGGCGACCTCATGTTTGCTGTGAGGCAGAACAAGGTACTGTTATAACAGGTCAGCAGACATTTACATGGTTGGCTCTTTGCTATTGTACCTTCCCAGAGAATAATTGCAAAACAAAACCCACCCAAACCACCCCCACTCCCCTGAACAGCTGTCATAACCAGTAAACTGAGGTCCAATTCAGTATCTGATGTTCGAAGAGACTGTAGAAGGTGATACATATTACTACTGTATGAAGGTACCTTTCAGTTTTTGTCACAGAAATACACAGCAATGAACTGGACAGTAAGATCTATTCTACCTTAAAGGCAAATAATTTTAAATTTCATAATTCATGCCATCCACTGAAAAGGTTTATCTGAAACCCACCTCAAAATGAAAGTATTTTTAATGACAAAGGAGACACTTTTACTACTTCATTATTTGCCATGTTGTTGTCTTAGAGCAACTAAAAAGCAAGTAAAGTGAATTTTGTCAAACTATAAGAAGATGTATTCTTAATACATTATTCCTGCTTTTATTTCTTCATCATTTGAAGCTGAAAGAAGCTAAGAGCAGTTCTGACAGAGAAACCCAGTTACTCCAAAAACCACAGTAAACATTAAGCTTCTCACCCCTTTTCTGAGGTGTTTACAATTCAAGAAGCAAAAGTAACCAGTCCTTACACAATTAATTAGGTTCTATACAAAGTTTCTGATTATGAAATCTGCTGCAAAGTTTCATTTTGAACTGATATCATGGAACAACTCCAAATGGAAATCGCACTGACAACTCTTCATTCACAAGAAGTATTTGCAACATAAGTCAGAAGTCAAGCAATGAAGAAAACTCAGCAATGTATTTTGGATTGGAGAGGTAGGATTTTCAGGTTCACACAGACATCTTGTACTAGCTTTGGTCAAGTTTTAACTTCTAATTTCAAACACACACAATGCTGCAGTACCTGAAAGAAAGACTGCACATTGGAAAAGAAATGGGTCTCTAAAAAACTGCCCATCTGAGATAATTCCAAATAGTTTCATAGTACTAACTCTGTGTAATATCCAAGGGATTTTTTGTTAATTTATTGTTTGGTTTTCAATTTGTGACTCTATGGCCTTTGGTAATACAGATGGACAGAAGAGAAAAACAGAGAAAAGATAGTGGATGTGCTCCCAACATACTGCTCAGGTCTGTTTTAAGATAAAATCAGTAATACCCAAAAATGCCCCAAGATCTCTTTCCCTCTTCATACATGAAGCTTTGAAGAACAGTTTTCCATTACAGGCATCTATCTTCGCCATGAATTGCCTGCATTTCCCCTAGAAATATCTTAAGATGGCCTATCAATTTCCAAACAGATTTAACAGGCAGAGGTCTCAAGAGATAAGGTTCCTACCAGCTCTGTCAGGTGGTGGAGAGGGCACAGTTTGTGCCCCAGCAGCAGTTTCAAGAATACTGAGGAGAAAACAAAACAACTCGATCAGTGAGAGTTTCATATGAATCATCACAAAGAGATGCAGCTACTTAGGAAACCAGGCCTTATTACGTCCCATGCAGGTTTTTTCCTTCTCTTCAACTCCTCTTCATGAATTGTCTAAACATATGCAGGAAAAGTATTACAAGAAATGCAGCTCCTATCAACAGTACTTAATCTTGTTACAAAACTTTGGTCAGAATACAGAAATATGGGCTTTGACTCACAGGGATTTAGCACTAGACTAACACACCCTTAATGTAGGTGGCTACCTGAACACAAACTCCTATTACAGCATACAAAGTTTCAGATGCCAGTGTATGGCCTGATCAAGGAATAACCATCCTCTTGGTTTTCACCTCAGGATGAGACAAATCCTCCCCCAGTTTGCAAAGGCTACAATGAAAACTGAGACACACGCTTGGACTTGCAAACCAACACATATATTTAGGTGTCTTACTACTGATCTGGATGCCACCTACAGTCATTTTTTCAGACAAGAATATTTGAAAACAGAGTTATCCACAAACAGCAGATTACTTCTGCCATATGACCAAGTCTCTTCATATTCATCTTTGGTTCAACTGACCCCAGAGTAAAATGCTGATAGTAAAACTAAGTTTCCTTTGCACACACTGTGCTAATTATTCATGCAACTCTCCTGACAGCATATTTTAACTGCTCCATCCTACACTATTACTTGGACTTGGCATTTTATTTCAAAGATAGCTTGGGAATAGCAAAATCTGTGATCTGCATTCAAAAGAATATTTAGTGATAGAACTGTCAAAAGCTCAGACTAGCACAATATAATGTAATTAGAGCAAGTCAGTTGATAGTTGGCATATAAACTATCCAATAACAAGACAGGACAAGCAGGCTGGTGTACCTGAAGCGAGAGACAGAATGGTAACCACAAGGGTAAAGTTGCATAAATCAATGATGAAACCAAAACAAAGGAGAAAGGACTAATGAGGCATATTTGACATATGTGATTACAAAAAAACGTAAGAAATACATCCCATGGTTTCCATGGCCAGGGTTACTGTGAGACCACTCTCTACCCTTTCTGGAAAGTCACGATAACACTGGAAGAAGCTACACAGCAAAATGGTGGAATCACTACTTCTGGAAGTATTCAAAAATATCTGGATGTGGCACCTGGGGACATGGTTTAGTGGTGAACATGGCAGTGCTGGGTTACCAGTCAGACTTGAGTCTGACTTAAAGCTCTTTTCCAACCTTACTGATTCTATGATTGTGAGTCGTGCCTGAAAACTGCAAAAAGGCAACCACCATGCCCATGTTGGAGTGTGCAGGGAGTTCTGGGCCAGTCAGCCTCAGTTCACAGAAAGTTATCAAACAAAATCACCGCCAAAGTTGTACTCAAGCACATGAAACAGCCATTAACTTACCAGCAATGTCTTTCAAGGATCAGTGTTGGGCAACAATGTTCAATGTCTTCATTAAGACTTACACAATGGGACAGGAGGCACCCTCAGCAAGTTTGTGAATAATATCAAGGGAGGAAGACATCAACTGAAACACTGGAGGGTAGGGCTGCTTTCCAAATGGACCTTGGCAGGCTGGAAAAATGGGAACTACATGAAAGCCCAGGGTAAATGGAAAGTTCTTGCACCCAGAGCTCAGTAACCCCACGTAGCAACAAGGGCTGGGGGCTCAAAGGCTAAGAAGCAGCTTTCCTAAAAACACACTAGTGATTAACAAGCTGAAAATGAGTCAGTAGTGAGCCCTTGCAACCATCCAGCCCAAGTGTATATAAGATTGCACAAAAAGGAGTAGCCAGCAAGTTTTGGGATGTGATTATCTTTTCCTGGAGCACTATGTCCCGTTTTGGACTCCTCATACAAGCACGACATCAGTATACTGGAGAGAGTCAATTAGATGATATGAACCTGAAGCATGTGATGTACATCCAAAGGACAAGGAAAAACAGTCAAATGTTGCAATGAAGGTAATTCCAATTACAAAGGGTTCCCCACATGCACACTGAGGATTATTAAATAATGAAAGAAGTTGCACAGAGAGGCTTTGGAATCTCCAACTGGAAAATGCCTTCAGCAACCAGATCTACTTTGCATTTTTTGAGAAAGAAACTGGACCACAACCTAGGGATAACCTACAGAAGTTGGAATTTACAGAAGTACATTCCTGAGACTGAATTTAAATTCACCTTAAATTGCCAAAATAATTGGTTGATGCAATTTCAAGGCTGCTGCCTATCAAAAAAATCACTGTAAATCATGGAGAGATCCTCATGGCTAGGGGAAAAAAAAAAAGCCAGGGGAAAAAAGTATCTAAAATTATAGCCATTTTCCATCAAAAAAAAATTAAGAAGGAGCACCCAGGGCACTGTAGGCTGATCTGGCTCAACTGAGTCACAGAAAAATCACAGGAGTATTTATTCTATATGTTCTTCTAATCATATAAAGGGAAAGAGGTTAATCTTGAATAAGAGACCAATTTGCCAACGGCAAATCGTGCTCAAGCAACGCAATTGCCTTCAGAGATAAAATACCTGGCTACAATAATGAAAGAAAGTATGTGGATATAATGCACATTGTCTTATTAAGAATTTTGGCACTATCTCCCACTGCATTCTCCTTTCTAGGTCTAGGAAATGCAGGCTCAATAAACTGACTTGCATAGTTCGAAAACTAACTGAAAAAGTTTAAAAGACAGTCTGCTACTGGTTGTCAGCTGAATATCAAGTAATCTTTAGTCAAAACTAGAGCCTACAAAGCCCAGCGTTTTCATCAGGAACCTGGATGGAGAGATGTAAAAAGCAAACAATGCTAAAACATCTGGAATGGTGGAGATAGCTGAAGTAGAGCTTCAATTCAGAGCGTTGTTTCCTTGACAACCTTAAGGACTGGGCTAACAGATCCCTTACGAAGTTCAACAGCAGAAAGCACAGAGATCTGCCCCTGGAGCAGCCATACTTCAGAACCAGCTCAGAAGTAACTGGCTGAGCAACAGCCCTGCTGGGAAAGATGTTTGTCATGATGGATGACAAAGGCAGCAATGCACTCTGAACACAGCAAGGCAAACTATGTATCAGACTGAAATTTCAAAAGCAAAGCCAGTAGTTGCATGGAATTTATTCTTCCCTTCTATTCAACAGGTAATTAGGACATACCTGCAACACTGAGCCCACCTGTGTTCACCCCACCAGGTTAAGACAACAGTTAAGGGAAGCTTCAGAGGGTCAAATAAATTTCCAGGCCAGAGGTTTAAGGAAAAGCTTTATGAATTGTGCTTTTTCAGTCTGCCAAGTTCTAATCAAATAGCAATATAGAGCCATTTGAAAGAGACCTGCAAAAGCAGCATAGCCAACTTTGCTTTGCAATGGTAGATGGTAAAATAAGAGGCAACAGCCACAAGTTGTGTCTTGACAGTTTAAGGCACCACAAAAAAAATGAGTTGCTAAGGAGGGAAGATTACTAGGAAGGCAGCAGAATCTCTCTTGTTGGAGGTTGTTAAGACTCAGCTGGACAAAACAGTAATTTTCATCTGAAGGACAGACTAAATTTTCTCCAGAG